GTTATAGAATAGGTAACCCAGCACACAGCTGTGTCGTAAAAGGCGAAAAACGTGTCTTTGTACTATCTTTGTTACTGCCTAGTATGGATCTAGGTAGTAATTTGTCTTTTCTATACCCCTTTCACTTTTCGGCAAAATTCTCTCTCTATTCTTATCTTTTTTCTAATTTACCCTTCACTATTCGACTAATAGCCATGTATGGATCATGGTCTAGTCACGTCTATGACCTTCAAGTTCTCTGGCCTAGTATGGATCAAGAATCATTGCCCTTTCTCTACTCTAAAAATTCGAAGCTACAATAGTTCCCCCAAACCATTATAATAAGTCTCTCTGGACCGCTGTGTAAATCATGTCCTGCAGAAACTTATTATACCCTTTCCAACTTTTCAACCATTGTATCATTTTTGAATAAGTATAGATCACATGGATCGGTTAACTCCAGAACCAATGTCGAACACTCCCTCCTTACGCCTATGTCATGTGTCAGTCTGTCTATGTGTCATTTGTCCACTGTCTAATAGGTACGATGTACCGTTAAAATTTAAAATTTTTTAACTGATAATGTATTTGTAAAATATAATATAATATAAGGGTGTGTTTTGCTAATTTTCAACACATCCTTTTTCAAAAATGTATTCAATGTTTTAACCCATGTATTATTATTCAATTTTAACTCTGGATAGATATCTATTGACGTAAGGTAATTCTTTCACCCTTACTTCTCGTATTAAATTTTAAACTTTGTAGGACGGCCTGAAGATGACAATGTTTTGTCGAAACATTTATATATACGCACTTGAGTACTCAATTCCTCAATTCAACCCAATCATTTAACTACTGAGTGTGTACTTCTTTCCCAGTCTAAACATTTATCAATATTATCCCTCTTATGTCTCTTTTTTCTGAACCTCAATTCACAACCCAGTACCCAGTTAAATAATCTAAATTATTAATATACTCCATGTTTTATATTAAAAATGCAAATCTGGCGTTTATGTTAATGTCACATGTCAATAACACCATCTAGTGGTCGTTTGTAAAAACTTAAAAGCTGTCCCTTGTATTAACTTCAGAAGAAATAATATCAACGTAAGCAGCATATTTACCTTTATCGGTTATAAGCAGGTAGTTAAATTTGGCCCAGAACATTGCGGCCTCTTGGGTCTATTATATTCCCATGGTTTCCCCGTATTCAGGTACTATCTTTGGAATAATTCTATGCCTTTGGTTAGTTTTATTAAGTTCCCTACCAAGTTCTAAGGCATTATTTCCGGTTCTATGACGAAAAGGGTGAGACGCCGCTTAGTAAAAGCTTTGCATTTGAAGATAACATGGTATGAGGTTTCTGTTAAATATTATCAAAATAATAAGTAACAGTTACCGCTATTCTGTACTGTCCACCTCTAGTTATAGACTGTCAATTGCCAAAAAACAATAAAGTTTAGTTTATGCAGAATATTCAAACGGAAAACACATTGTTTTCTTTTACCTTCATCTGCTTTATCCTCTTCCATGCAGATGATGTTGTGATGATTGTAATCCCATCACATGAAAGGTGTTTCAGTAAGCAGTGTCTCGTTAGTAATCCTACAATGGAGCATATCTGAGGCCTTGCGAACTAGTACCTCATCAGCCTTGCTTGAGTTTGGACCCCTTTGCATGAGCTTACTGATTCTGTGCCCTCTTATCTGTTGCCAGTGAATTTTGTATTTTATGGTTATCCACCTGTTCACTGCTTGTCAAGCAGAGGTTTTGTTTATCCCCAATACAGGTTCAGGTCCTGTGAATGGTAGTTCGGATCACTCTCTAGTTCATCAGACTTTTTATTAGTGATGGGAAAAAGCGTTATTTACATTTAACAGTTCCAACTGTTACTGTTATTTTTAAATAACTGCTTAAAATAACAGGTTGTCGTTATTTCTAACATCTAGTGGTTGAACTGGGAAACTACATAGTGAACGCCGTGCACCTACTTAAAACGAAATAACAATACCCCAGACCCCTGACTAGTCAACCATTTCTCAATGTCAGTAGACTTGGAATGGTACAGCGCCAGTATGCTCAGAAACTTAAACGCATGCGACACATAAACAACAGTAGTAAATAATACCTAAATAAGAAGGATGGATAGTAGCGTTATTAAAATAACGCTTGTAACGCCTGTTATTGCAAATTTGGCGGCGCGATCGACGGCAATGAATGGCATCGACCAACACGTTCTCGTTAAGTCGCATTTCGCGAGAAAGCAATCGTCAACAGTTTTGTGTTGTGACGTTATTTTGCACTTGTTATTGTTGAACTAGATTAACAGTTGTAACCGTTGTGTTTCAAATAACAGCTTGAAAATAGCAGATAGTTAAATAACAACACATAACTACTTTTCATTTCCTTGGATATGTCCTGGTAACCGCGTTAGTATTGCCGTATTGTGGGTTACCAGATCATTTAGTATTCCAAGGCAGTTCCAGACCAGCTTTGACTTGATTCTGTTTGAACCAAGGGCCTTTAAGGTTGCTTGGCTATCTGAGAGAATTAAGATGGTTTGTTTATTGTACTCTTAAATTCTCTCGGACACACAATTCTATTGCATGTATTTCAGCTTAAAATACAGTGGCATGTTTTCCTAGTGAGACGATGATGTCGCATTTGGGGTTATGTACGTCAAAGCCTATTCTCTAGTTAGTTTCAGATCCACCGTATACCATACGAGACAGCTAAGCAACTGTTTCTCTTCTACCTCCTAATTTACCTAATTCCAGTTGCAGTTGACCAGAAGTGTCTGTTAAGGGTTAGGTGAGATGTCATATGATCTGATCCCATGTTTATAATAAAGGATAAAGATAACAAAGCAGCACCTAGGATATTTATTAAAGCCTATATTTCGAGTTGCAAATTCTAATAAATATTTAAGCTATTCACAAACCTAATCAGAATTTTTTTTGTACTGAATGTCATTATTAGATATAACACTTGAAAAAGAATAAGCTCCAACACCACCATGATATTTTGTAACGTAGCAAGCCGATGATTTTATTTTTACCTTGGGTAGGATGATATTCCGGTTAAAGTGGGTATACTCGATGCTCTGGGTATGCCTGATGATCTAATAATGTTATAGGACAACATGCCTATATTAGTTATTTATTCATGACGCACTATTATATTTCCACAACAAAAACAATGAGCACAAAATGTTTTCTTATGCAACAGAGATAATTTTCTTATTCAAGGAAAAAATAAAAAAATATAGAATTTAAAAAAGTTTATCAAAGTATAATAGTATCAAAATTAGGTCATAACATTCTTTTTGTTGTGGAAATTGAAATTAAATATGTCCAAAACCAATGACACAATGTTATTACTATCACCTACGAAAATTTTAACAATTAACATTAGCAATTAAATTTTGTTCAGTCAGAAAAATAATTAAACACAAATTAGTATCTAAATGAACGTTTGCTATGCATATTAACTTATTAGAGAATTATCTATTTCGAAACAACTTTAAATTAATAATTTTTATTTTGTTTTTCAGTGTTGAAAATATTTTGTGAATCATTTTAATAATTATTTTTCATATTTTAGTTTTTGTTTGGTTCTTGTAAAATTTTGATGAAACTAACAGGTTTGCCAGATTGGGCTATTTTAAGAGACGGTCTACTGAAAATTTTTGTTGGCTACAGGCTCCTAGTTTGGGTTATTTTTGAATAGTAGATGGCTCCAATAAGTTTTATTCCTCGCTGCTTTATGATTGCGAAATGCAAGAAATCGCCAGCTTCTAGCCTAAAACGTTCTATGTTCTATCATTCTGTCTGTCAATACTGTCAATTTTGAATATTTTCCAGGTTATACTCTGTTATATGAAGGATTTTGATTATTTTGTTTTACCCACCATTTTTGAATTATTAATAATGCCAAAACAAGCGAAGGGACCTGCTGAAAAGTATGCAAAATACACAATATATTATAATAAGGAATGGGAAAAAGAGTTTCAAGGTAGGTATAATCAAAATAATTCGACTAATTTGGTTTTGGTTTGTAATCTAGTTGTTATGTTTTTTGTATGGTGTATTTTAGGGTGATTGAAAGAAATTAAAGTACTATTGTTTGTAACCTACAATTTTAGCTGTGATTTTGTAAGTTATTTGGATTTTTACGATTTGAATTTGTTTTAACTTTCGATTTTATATATTATCAAGCATATTATAATAATTACTGTTAAATTAAGGTGGATATATATTAAAATAAAAAAGAATTTGTTAAATAAACTGCTGTCTAAAGTTGTAGGTGATAGATTTTAGTGATTCTTCTGACGCCGAATAACAAAAATACTTTCTTTTATACAAAAAACCATCAAGCTTCAATAAAAATGTGAATAACAAAAATACTTTCTTTTATGCAAAAAACCATCAAGCTTCAATAAAAACGGATTATATTCTTCTTTTTTTTTTTGTTCCTTTACTTACTATAATTGTATCTAATTCTTTAAAATAGAAAGAGAAGAATAAGCAACTATACGAAATGCGTTCGTAGAAAATAAAAATAGAAAGAAAATCCCAAACCATTGGATGCAGCGCATGCGCAGTATAAAATAATCACGTATCACTGGTTACATAACCGGCTCCTTTGGGCTACTTTTTATCATTCGATTGGCTATTTCTGGTGAAAAATATCTGGCAATCCTGGATGTTTTGTATATACTACATATCATGATTAAATATTTAGCTTTAGGAAAAACCATAAGTAAACAATAACATTTATCAAATTATCACATGAGGTTAAATTTTTAAAAGCAAAAATGTTTCGTTTTTAATTTATCCTCGAGAGGTCACTAATCAAAAGAAAAAATGTCACAAAATATTTCCAAATCACATCTTTTATATTTTTAGTTTTAATTCTACTTCAAACAATTTTCATTAAGACAATTTCTACTTTTTCTTTTCCATTATTATTTGTGTTATGTTTATATATACTACATAAGTAAGAAAAGTTATAATTACCTTCCAACGGGACTAGCTGGAGATATCAATCCGCTGGGTGTGCGTGGGCGAGAGCTAGAACCATTGATGCTTTTTGTCGTTGAAAGAGCTGAACTTCTTCCAGAGGTTGGTGTCCTTCTAGGTATTCTTGATGGAGTAGCATCGTCTATAAAAATGAATTGACTCATATTAAAAATACTTAAATTCTAGTTAAAACAAAACATTTATACGTTTTACTTCCTTTTATATAGTTATTTATCTCAAAATAAAATAAAGTTGAATCAGTGACGAACAACTATAGACTAATCTATTTTTAGAGGATTTTGTTAAGTAAATTCAAAATTATAACCGAAAACAATCATTAGACTCTCTCGCAACAATAATAATAATAATAATAATAATAATTTAGCAACATAGGGGTATATGAATCTAAAAATCGGACAAAAATCATTGGAAACAAAGTTAATAATTTCCGGAAACCGTTCACGCCAAAACATTCTTAAATGCATAGACAACAAAAATCGACCGCCCATTTGTTTTAACTGGTTTGTCATAGGTCATAATTATGTCATTATCTTAGCTTCTTGAAACGACCACGTAAAAAAATCATAAGTTAATACTTTTCACCAAGGGATCGAAGGCAACGAAAAGGCTGACGAACTTGCAAATAGAGGGTCAGAAGAAACACCGGAACTAGACACAAACCCAGGAGTACCAAAAAGTACAGTCCGGGGTTTCATAAACGACTGGATTCGGGAACAACATATTAACTATTAGGGAAGCACCCCAAAACAGGCACATGGAAAAGCCTTCATAGGCAGAACATGTCCTACGTTGCCAACCGCCTCGACGCCAAACCACAACACAAATGGTTAATTAAGGCTTGAGAAGGTTGTCAACAATGGCAAAGGGGGTTCCAATTATTCTGGGTGACAATTGGGTATTTTCACCGCGAGTAGCTCGAGCCGGAGAAGGGAGTAGTCCGATAAATAAAGTTGAAAAGGGGGCACCAGGTTAAATTTGACGGCAAATACTCTCTAGGAGTAATGAATCAACCACCAAATCACCAAATTGGTTGATTCCTAGACTTAGGGTCTTAATTTAAATGCACCAGGCAACTATAACTAAAAATGAAACTAGGTGGAAGTTTAGTTGGCTGTATCTTTAATCAACAAATTAAAATATTTCACAAGTACCCCGAAGCCAGGTGAGGCATTAATTATAGAACAAATAAGTATGTTTAATATACAAATGAAATACTTAACCAAGTATTATAGAACAAAATAAGTATATTCAATATACTAATGAAATACTTAACAAGTATTAAAGAACAAAATAAGTATATTTAATATACGAAGGTAATACTTTACAAGTATTCTGAAGCCAGGTAAGGCATCCAGTTATAGAACAAAATAAGTATATTTAATATACTAATGAAATACTTAACAAGTATTATAGAACAAAATAAGTATATTTAAATATACAGCGTGGAAAACAAAATAACAGTAATTACACTAATTAAAGGATCCCAATAACTTAACCTAACTTATGACCTAATAACGCGTTATGAGCTCATCACGTATTTATGACATGGTTGATACAAATAGATTAAAGACTTAAGTAGGCATTTAAAATTAAGCAATGGCAAATGGGCTTGATTTCCCTTACTGGGGTTGCCACGATGGGAACACGATTAGCTTGGAGTATAAATACCTTACTCGAAGGATGAACTCACTCATCTGACTACCCGGGGAAGTCAAACCGCCAGATTTGTCCGTTGGATGTGGTGGATACCAGCTAGAGTAGCTCTCCAGGTCATGCTTACACAACAAACAAATAAAACTCAGGCTCCACCTCGCAGATCCAGGTCCTTCCAGAACTAGGTCACTACTCATTCGGTAAGTCTCAACCCTTTCCGGGTGTTCGTGGACAAACAATAAACCGGTGATAAGGAAACACCACAAGGTAAAAGAAAAACCCCAACTAAACCACTTACCACTGATCTGTATTATTTTACTGGGTGCCTGTAAACATAACGGACACACGAATTTCGAAAAATTTTTTTAACTAAAAAATAGTACTAACTGTATATATGAAATAAAAAAAAAAAAATTTGCGGGTTACGCATAAATAACAGAGAAATTTGAATTTTAACCTTCAGATTTTGGTGTTTCTAACCTAACATTTTTTCAATTTTCGTGTAATGTATGTGCATGGTTATCAAGAATTTCAATTTTTAACAAAACCCAGATTAATAATTGACAGAATTCAATAGGTATTTTTATGAATCGAATACTTACATGTTTGATTTTACTGGATAGGATATAGCCCCCTAAAAAACGTTCCGAAAAATTGGCCGATTTGGGCAAATAATATGGCGGTCCGGATGTTCTTTAACGTAACCTCTATTTCCATTTGTCATCACATTTGTCATTTAATTGTGTCAACAAGCTACGATGAGATGTTTTTATTGTGGAAAACAAAGTAAAAAGAGTATGAAATAAACAATAAACGTTCATTCCTGAAGACACAATATGCTTCACGTCTCCATTTTTATATTTTCTTTCATAAAAAATCAAATCATGGGTGAAATTTCCCGAAGGACATCGCCCGCAAAAGGAATAGAAGAAGAATAAGAAGAAAACTAATCAAATTATAGGTTAGGTATGTCAAATTATCCCAAATTTCAGTTCTGTGAACCCACCATAATTTGCCCAAAACGGCCAGCATTGTTGCACTTTCGGTCTCCTTGGTGGAACTATTTTTTAGTATGTTAAATATAGCCTATATCCTATCCAGTAAAATAATACAGATCAGTGAATTAATCCCTTAAACAGGTTACCAAGGAAATTTTCCCAAAAAATATCCATAAAACTCTACGGCTATAAAATTCTCCTGGTCTATTAGGTAGTTTCCAAATTAATCCCTTATCGGATGACCAACACTTTGTCATATATATATATATATTTGAAAAACCTTCCAAATGTTATTCACCACCATACCAAAGTATATTAACGGTTAATATACTTTGACCATACAATATACATCAGCCAAAAAGTGACAAGACTCAAAATGACAGACCACCAGGTCTGGAAATATTAAAAATCACATAGTTACTAATACACGGAACATCAATCCACAGAACACAACATGACACCAGCATTATAACGCAGAATATCGATACCCGAAATCCGCTAATTTGTGACAGTGACCCAGATATATTTATAGGTTAAAAAAAAGTAAACAAAAAACACTGGGTAAATTAAATATTTACAACAGGTAAAGTAATAACTCGTAGTTATCGGATAAAAGATGGTAGTTTATGACTGTGTTTTAATCAAAAACCAAAAACGAACCGTAACACATGTCCCAAAATAACTGGAGAACTACTCTTTATGAATAGAAACCAGTTGAAAGTGATAACAAGGTTCATGACTGGGTACGCCCCAGTAAAGGGACACTTGAACAAAATTGGCATGTACAATGGGGAACTTATGTGCCGACTATGTCACAAGAAACCAGAAACGGCCAAATACATACTGTGCGAATGCGAAGCTATAGATCGCAAAAGACAGGCACTTTTTGGACAACCCCAGGTTAATCCAACAACGTATAGAACCCACTCTCACCCAAGGATCTGTACAAACTTGTAAAAAGGTGACATATTGGGTGCTATGAACTAACATGGGGTAAAACACAATAAGCCAATAGGCTTCAGTGTTATTCGGAGACATAGTCAGACGAGCCCAGGAGAGGAAACAATAACAATAACCATGTATGCGTTTTTGAGCAGATCTTAGAAACTCCGAAAGTCAGCCAGAGAAGGACAACGTTACAACTTGGTATAAAAAGAACTTCCTTGTAAAGAATCCTGAAGGATCTGGGTGCATTTTCGTATATGATTCAGGTACATCAACAATTATATCCTCGGAATTACCGCAGTAGAGAGGAATATTGCGTCAGAATTCTCGCATTACAGTATGAAAATCTTGAGTTTTTGAAAAATTTATAGTTTTCAGACCATAAAGCACATTTTCATTTGTCATGTGAATCGTCGCACAAAACGATTTCTGTACTAAAGTGACAATAACATGTATTTCTTAAATACGGAATGGCCCAAAAGTCTGGAAACGGCCAATTATCTCGTAAATTGCTAATCCTAATTGTACAAAATTTGGGGTACACCTATTTTGGGATACGAAGATTCCAGATTTGATATTTGCAATGTTGCCAGATTTGCCGTTTCTCTTATATTATTAGTCACTTTGGTTTTTCAAATATATCACCCTGTATATTCAGTCGTTATTGGAATCTCCTATTCAATACGAGTTCAGCATTCCGAAAAATTGTGATAAAAATCCTACCTGTGCTATCCAAAGAGAGGTTAGATCCATGCCTTGACGGAGGCTTGCTTCCTGGCCTACTGCTCGTCCTCGAGGTGGGTCTGGAGTTACTTCGCGAACCTCCCGGTGTCAAAGTTGATCTATACGATGGTCTCCTGGGTGTACGGAATGTTGAGCTTTCGTTGTCGGAAAGAGAATCGGGCGTTCCTGCTGATAGAGACGTTCTTCCTGTCCTTGGTTGGCTTCCCATGGGAACGGATCTCTGGGAACGTTCTCTTACCTGGACAAAACAAAAAGAAGAAGAATTAGCACGCGTATTATAAGCCTGCATGTTATTTACTAATCTTACACAAAACATTGTTTAGTAATCCAGAATTAAATTAATCTTGATAATTCGAGATGTTTTATATAGATATTTTTGTGAAGCAACAAGAACTATTAGCAATTTTAATAAGATTATAAAGCTCATTATTTCGAGATATTAATAGAGCCATTTTTATGAATTTCTGATTCTGAACGTGCAACAAGAACTATTAGCAATTTTAATAAGATTACAAAGATCTTTGTTTCATATTATTTCCTGACAAGATGTCCAGTTTTATTTTATTATAGGTTTGTTCCAACTTGATACAAATACATTTTTTTGATGATAATACTAGTGAATTTGATACTACTAACAAAAATTATTTGTACAGAATATATTCATTATTTACCAATATTTTCTATTGTGCCCTAGAATCTAGAATAATAAAATAAAAAAATCATTAACACCAATGAAACCGAAAACTATTTTATTTTCTTTTCGAAAAGTTTGGTTAGAATCACGTTAGAATTTTCTTCCTCTTTTATTTTTTCTATTAATGGACCATCAAAAGTTTAAAAATGTTCCGATCCCAAAACCATTCAGAGATGCTCTTGCGCAGTACATCGTTCATGGACTGATGTTGGTATGATACAAGAACGGTACCAAACACCAAGTTGGAACAAACCTATCATAACCTTAATTTGGAAGTAGGTATATAAACAAAAGACTTACTATAATTAGTAGTACGAAACAGTAAGACGGAGAGACTGAACAACAAAAACAAAGCAGCAAAAAAAGGACTAGAAATAAAAGAAGACAAAATACTTGAGAATAGGCCGGAAAGAATATCTGAAGGAACAAAAAGAAATAAAAATACGAAAACTTAATTTCGAAATGGTACAACATTAGATATCTGGGAACAATAATAAAAAATAAAACCGTTAGTTATAGAAATAAAACAAAGAATCCTAGCAGGCTACAAAGTATATTATAAAAACAAGGACATTATAAATAGTAACAAGATAAGTAAAAAAAAAACAAAACTGAGTGTATATTAAATTACCATAAGACCAGTAGTAATAGGTTTGTTCCAACAACGATCCGAAACCAGTCATTGGCACCAGGATTCTGCGTAGTATATAATTGGGGGTCCTAATACACTACTGCGCAGAATCCTGGTAGCAATGACTGGTTTCTAATCATTGGAACAAACCTATTATAAACAGGAGATACAGTGTGTCTAACTGACAAAGATGAAGAGATGCTGAAAGTGTTCTAAAGAACAATAATTAGATGAATAGTAGGACCAAATAAAATACGGCTTATGAACACAAAAATAAATTAGTTATTAGAAGAAGATATAGTGAAAATCATAAAAGAGAAGGGAATGTGATGGTACAGGAACGTACAAAGAACAGGAAATTAATTATTAAAATAATATTAATAATCCCCTAATTCACCTCCTTACGAGTGAATTTTAACCCCAAAAGCTGAGCTTGTGTGAAGAAAGGGACGGCTATTATTATTATTTGCCGTGTCTTAGAATAACAGACCAAAGGGACAACAGAAAATTCTTTGGAGAGGCCAAATAATGAAGGATATTGATAGATGAAGAGAACAGAAACGGGGAGGATTGGAGAAGAAAAACGGAAGCGCCGAAAAAACAAGAAAACTTGTTGGAGGATGAAGTAAAAGTAAGGCAGAACGACTCATTGCTATACTTATCAAAGAAGTCAAAAGTTCTTTAATAGCGTCTAAAATTACGCAAGCAATGTACAGTCGAAAATTAAAGAAGTATTTTTATTGCCTAAATTTTTTATCTTAATTTAAGTAACAAAACATTACTGAAAACACATCACAAAATGTTAATATCTATAAACGCTATTTCAAGAGCTAAATTCACTCTTATCACCTAATAATAAGTGATATTATCTTAGAAAGATGGTCTATAAATTACAATTATCCCGTGACTGAGTATCAAAAATTGCTGTTCTTCAAACTAGAAAAAAGAATAGAGACCTAACAATACTTTATAACATTATTAACTCTTTTGAATTCAGAAATTTGGACCCAATTCGAATTTTTATTTTGGAAAAATTGTCAATTTCTTTTTCTAAATTTTTGGCACACTAGGTTGTCAAAGATAAATGAATCCATTTTGAAATAAAACGTAATATTTTTTAATATTCCACTGCAAACCTACTGGCTACTGGATTGTCTTACGCAAAATGAATATAATTTTTTATCTGATATTAAAATTAGCTAGTAGGCGGTGTTGCCAAGTCAATATTTTTTTATACATTTACATTTATTCGGAAATATATTGCAGTGGGTAATTTTTTGGTAGTTAACACATTTAACCAATCTTAAATAAAAAATGTTATTATCGTTAACGTTATTATTTGGATTTGAGAGCAATCAAATTAAAAGCAAATTTTAAGTTTGTTAAATATTCTGCAGTAATTCCTATTTCAAAGAATTTATTTTATATTTAGTAGGTATCTGTTTTCAAAACATATATTGAGAAGTGTTTATAAAATTATCGATGCTCAAGGTAATTTAATTCTGGATATTTCAAAAAGCACACAGTTTAATTAAAAGGTATCCTTTTCTAGATTTCGATGCAGTTAAATAATAATTTTTAATGACTATGTAAAAATGTTGATTTTAAATTAAAACTTGATAGTACAACATTGTGCGTGCACAAAACAAATGAATAAGTGTTGAACTTCTACGTGTACATTTGCAAAATTTTAGAAAGGGAAACCGTTTAGTGTAATAAAAAGTCCAAATTCTAATTACAAAAAACTGACAACTTTTTGGTATGACATTATTTAGGTACTCAAAAGAGTCGATAGTAAACATTATTTTTTTACAATTCTCGTTTTTGTACGAAAAAATTTGGATTTTTTTTATTATTTAACCTACACTGGTTAACATACGCAATTACATGTGTGTAAATTATCATTACTTACCAATACTATGCTTACCTGATCCGGATTTGTTAATATAATCTTCAATAAAAATATTCATCAGTTTTCTGCTTTAATGTTGATTCTTTTAAATTTTGATTTGTTTGTTCCAAAAATTGGAATCGATTACTTTTTATGACATAATGAACATTGTGTTTTGAATAAGTTATAATATACACTCTTATAGATATTACTGTTCCCTAGATATATTTCCCAAGATGCTTCTCAAACAAAGGCATATCTCAATATTTATTCTTTTGAATGAAGTATAGTTTTTTTTAATACCTAAATCTAAGCTTTTCACAACTTTTGATTTTTGTTTTACAATGATTTTCATTGTCTTCTTCATCAAGAATTTATTGTGTAATAGAATATACTGAATGTTACTGAATGTCACATCTGTCCATTCTAAACAAAATACTTATGTAAAGATACTAAAATTCAAAAGGGAGACTTGGTTCTTTGGAAATAAAAGTTGTAACATTTTAAAAATCGCCTTTTAAAAATGTTTTTTGAATGAGTGACATCCTGTATAAATGGATTGATTTGTGTTTAATTGTCAGCGCACGCAACATTGTTGAGAAAGGAAAATTTCGCGTAGCGAAGAGGAAAACCTTGCAAAAGCGAGTTTGAAATCATTTATCTTTTTCTTTTATAAATAAGCGTCTGACTGCAATAAGTGGTGAGTTCTTAATGTCATTGAAAAAAATCTAATTAGCCTCTATATTTCTACCTTTTATCTAATTATAGGTTTAATTTTTGAGAATAAATTTTGAATTGTTCAATATGTTGGTTCCTTTTATGTGGCTGAAATTTCATATTGTTAATATTAATGTTTTGTTTTATGGAAAAGTAAACGTATTATTTTTTTTAATTGTTGGAAATTTTAAAAATAATTATTTAAAAGTTTGACTAATATCTCTTGTAAGGACCTTGTAAAAAAACCTAATTTATTTTTGTTTAGAGAGCGAATATTTGGCAGTCAAAATATCTATCCATCCACTTTTGTGTGATCATAAGAGGTCGGCTCGTTGAGTTTGGTTTCCCTCTCCGCTATGCGAAATTTCCCTTTCTCAGCAATGTTGCGTCCGCCAACAATTAAACTTTAAATCATTTAAACACAAATCAATCCATTTATACAGGGTGTCACCCATTCAAAATAACGTTTTTAAAAGTAAAATGTTATAAAGTATTACTAAAGATTTTGGTTCAGCTATTCTACTTATTATTAGTACCCTTGTTAATATCAAAAATATTCTTGATTAACATCTGGATGACTAAGATCTGGATATTAAATCACAAACTAAGATATATAGGTAGCTGCATTCTGAGACTAAAAAATCCTACTAAAAGTTCTGTCATTAAAGCCAAAATGTAATATCCCCTGGCTTAATTTTATGATAGCATACAAATATGTTGTTTGTCTTGATTCTTGGACTTTCTCTTGTTAAAGAAACTAAACTAACTATTCAAGAAATATTAGTTCATACTCTAGAACCATTTAAATAAGAGATGCATCTTCAAGAGAATGATATTTTAACAAAAATACTCAAGTAAAAGAAATTCTTCAAGAGTACAAGGTTTGCAAACACTGTACAAATGATGAATGAAATAGATCCAATTTTACTCCAATTTTACTTAGAGAACGCATGCCTGGATATACATCCCAGCAATATGGCAGAAGCCAAAATTAGTCTACTTTATCAAAGTAGGTATGATCACAGACCAAACGCTAAAATCATATCGCCATATAAGCTTATCCTCACTCTTAAAGATAGGTATATCAGGGATAAGATATTAGTAATAAATCGGCTCTATCCCAACCAATATGCATACCTAGCGCTGAACGATCTAAACAGTCTGCTTTAAAGTGACTAGGTGACAAAAAAACGCAATAGCCACTTTCTTAGACATCGAATGAACTTTCAATAAGGCCTCAACCAGGTCAATAACGAAGGTTCTAGAATAGAAAACTCACCTGTAACAATATGCAAATGGATAACT